ATGACTTATCATGAGAACAAACGTATTCACGTGACTTTAATAACATTTCTTACTTAATGGAAACACTGCAGTTGTGAAACTGTGTTTTTTAGACATTAACAGAATATCGACATTTTGCGCACATTTGCAATGGAAACGCAGCTACTGCCTCTCTGATGGTATGAGGGTGCATGAGTGCATATGAAATGTTAAACTGACATCATCATTGTAGAGAAGTATCTACAGAACCGAGAATCCTCCATCAAAGCAGGATTAAATTTAAAATCCTGACATCCTGTTTTCTAATCATTTTAAATCACTACTTGTCAAACTTTAAATACTTCCTTTAATGGCTGTGATAACAGGTGTTAATGGCTATGATAACAGGTGTTAATGGCTGTGATAACAGGTGTTAACAACTGCTGGTCTCCTGAATCTTTGCAGCTGTTTTCAACAAACAACAACAACAGATGATCTGACCTCGGAGCTGCTATCCTTTCAGGTGACGTCATTTAGTAAAAGTAGGGTGAAAATATCCAAATATTTACAAATTACTAGTGTTACTACATGAGTGACTCACCTTTTATACTGATGGTTCTGGTTTAACCAACAATAATTTAACACTTCCTCCGTGTAAAAAATAAAACAACATCCTGTTTTAAAAGTGAGCTTTTCTCTTTTTTAACAATAAAACAATTATTTTGCGGTTTACATCTTTAGAGACAAACTCGAGACGGTTTGACACAAATATTAACGACCAAGATCATATTTATGTCCATTTAAGGTAAAAGCAGACAGATCTGCAGAAGTACAGTCAGGAAGCTAACAGCTAGCATGTTAGCTCTCCTAACTGAAGAGTTAGCAGCTGCAGCTAACACCCATTAGCCACCGCAGAGTATAACCTGACGTGTCCTGTTGGTGAATAAATGTAACGTGTGTCGTTAAAACAGTTTTATTTTAACCACACAAACACACACCGACATTAGCTGAGGGCGCTAACCGGCCAGCACTCACCGAGCTCCGGACCAGCATCCTGCCGTTGGCCTCGGTCTCTGCTTCCCCCCGGCTCGTCTCACATCTTGCCGTGACGATCTTCAGCTCCAGTCCGCGGGCCTGGACATCCTCCCGGGGTTTCTCCGTCTCTTCCAGGGTGTCCTGCTGAGGGGCTCAGCTGTCATGTGTTCCCAGGTCGATCGATCGGAGTGAAGCGCGTGCAGTGAAGAGACAGGTCGGCTTTCGTTTTCACCGAAATTCCTCTGCACAGATTGTAACTTTACAGTTCGTGTCGGTTTGTTTACAACACGCGGGCACGCCGAGTGGGCGGTGCTACCTTCAATTCGCGCTGAAGAAAAGATAAGGCTCGAACTCCGCTCCACTGAGCTGCCTTCGTGGTCAGAACGAAAACTTTTTCACCGACCAATGGAATCCGATTCTATCTTAGCTCCGCCTCCAGCTGCCAGGGATCAGCCAATCAGCGTAAACGCATTTTAAACCTTCTGTAAGTAGAGAGAAGACGGTGGCGGTGCTTCACTGCAGGCACCGTTTGTGTAACTTACAAGCTTCATGGGGGGAATATCAAGGCGCCCCCAGAGAACATGAAAGGCCGCTGCCGCCGGGAGCAGATGTTCAAACTCCGCCAGTGAGGACAAAACATGTCAACAAAACGAGTCAGTATTTAGCAGGAAAGTCTGCTCCATGACATTTCCCAGGATCACTATTTTGCAAAAGACAGAAAGGCGGGACTGGAAGGTGGAAGGATTCTTGGTCTGCAGCACACACACGTCAAGGCAGCGGGCCTAAAGGTCGGCACTTCCTGTTTAGAGTTTTCAAAACAAAAGCACGTCGAAGAATTTGATGATCTATTTGGCACACCTTGCCATCATTACAGGTAATATCACTTTAAATACACTTTTTTCTGGATTTTAATTTATGGTATTTCTTATATAAATTTGACAAAATAAATCAGTTTATGTCTTAGTGACTGGCTACTGTTAAAGAGCATAAAGAAAGAGTTATGTGAAACTAAAGGCCCGTGGGCCAAATCTGGCTCTCATTAATATTTTATTTTGTCCCAAAGGTATAATACTATACTTATATAATAATATAATGTGAAATATTTGAGTATTATGGTGTATTTTCCTTGCTGTATTTAGTGTATTCTCATGACAAATGACCAGTTTCCAAACCAAGAAAATTTAGTTTGAATTTTTCTGTGATCTTTTATTTTGGTGTGGAAAAAGCAACAGAAAATCAACTTTAATTGTCTTTTTCTGCATTATTTTCTTATTTTAAAGTCAAATAACTTTAATTTAGTGAAGGTTTTCTTTTTTACTTGTTTTCTGGTGTAGGTTTTTTTTGGGTATATTCTAAAATAGATAATTTGTGAACTCACAAATTATCTTACCTCGAGGCACCACGCTCTTAATTCGATCAAGGATTGACCCAGGAAAGAGACGAAAAACTGTAACTTAATTGTAATCAGTCTCACAATACATGTACCCAAAATGATTTGATGAGTTCTTGTTTTATCAGAACCAATAATACTTTATCAAGACACAAAAATGAGATTAGCTTATGTTGGCATGTTCTCCAGAGCCATTTATTTACAGATTAAATGTATTTACAACTATGGTGATGAATAAGTGACGACATAATTGAACCATTAAAAAAAACTGAGAGAGTTTGCAGTCACGAGTGAATAACAACAAACAAATAAACAAACAACAAACAAACATAAAGTAAACACTGAGAGGTGAGTTTTGCTTTTAGCTATGGATTTAACTAAGGGGGTCCTAGTTAAATTAGGTAGAAAAATCGTTTAGTTTACCAAATCTCATATAAAGATAAAAATCAAATTACGTCTGAGCACCTGTGTGTCACCAGGACAAATGTTCAATTTTACCCTTTTGTTCTGCTGATGGCGGTACCAGGAGTAGTCGTCAGCTGACCGAAGGATCTCAGGTGATGTTCCCCAAAGAACTGCTTCAGTGTGGTGGCCGGTCGGACACTCAGGGTGTCTGTTCAGCTGCTGGTCCTTCAGTCAGAAAGGAGGGTAATGAGCTGGTAACAGCGGGGTCCGGTCCGGTCCTCCCCAGGCAGCTGCAAGACTTCTTAATTTGATTTCGACTTTGTAGAGAAAACGAACTAAAAACGACGCATGAATTACCATTAGCTTATTTAACTTCTATAAAATCAAACTCAGATGTAGAGTCGATATTAAACGTTGGCTGTTCGTTCAACCAGTGGGAGATGCAGGAGAACCACCATCCTGCCCAGCCCATGGGGAGGGGCTGGCAGGCAGGGCCTCTGCTGAGCTTCTGGAAAGCTGTTTTCTCGCTCCTGATGTTGAAAAACTCTCTTTAAAAATGTTATCTCTTGTCCTGACTTTACAAACTTCTGATTGGCTGAGAGATAGTCACATGGGGTGTCACCTGCTTCACTGACATCACGGTTCTGCTGCTAAAATGATTGAACAAAACACAGATTGATGTGGTTACCTGTACAGTGATTAAATCAAGATATTATCACAGTGATTGAGTCATGATAGAAAAATGCTTTGTTTCTTTTTCTTCTTTTTTTTGTCAGACAACCAAACAACAGAAATTTCACAACAGGGCTTAATCAATGGAAGGTTGCAGTTTCTGTTTATTTTAGCATTTGTAGACAGTGGAGGAAAAGGGCGAGGCCAGTGGAGAAAGCCATTGTTCTCTATATATATGGCAGGAGGAGGAAGTATTGAATCAAGGTTCTTCAGTGGAACTGTTTTCTTACGTTCCTGCTACACTGGATTGTGATAAATGTATCTAAGAAAAATGTAGTTGATAGAGAAGGCATAAGAAATGAATGTTGATGAAGAGTCTTTCTAAATGTAATCTGTTATATTTATTAGGTTATGAATGTTCTATATTCTGCATAAAACATAATTTGGAACATATGTATTTCTATAAGAATATTTTGTTATACAGTACTTTTTCAGAAAACATTGAAAGATATTGCGTTTGACTTGGACCAAATTTTAGACAGAATTTAAAGAGAATTTAATCATCTTTATTGTCACTGTATGACTCATTTATAATTAGACAAAGAAAATGTCAGACCACCCAACAAGTTAAAGGGTTGAAATCCTGTTTGTCAGAAGTAGAGATGGTTTGAAGCCATCCCCCATTCCAGGTTAATACTCCATGCTGGAACCAATCAGAGACCTCCAGAGTCCAAAACCAGTTGCCATCAACCCAAGTTCAGTTTATCAGAGTTCAGTTCTCTGTCACCACCACCGCGGCCTTCGGACTGGTCCACCCACGGATGATACGGGGGAGGGAATGGGGGAAATCAAGCATGCGTTCTCATCTCATCCAGGGAAGTTTTGATAACTGCAGAGTGCCAAGGTCAGCAGCTGCTGGAATCCAAAAGATAAACACAATTGTTTTGGGACAAGCAGCCTTGAATTTCTTGCTGCTTTACAGTCTTAACTGCATCTCTGTAATGGTGAGAAAAAAAGGCAAAATATTCCGAATTTCATCACCTCCTCGCCTCTCTTTCCGTCTGAAACTTCACCCGGGTGTAATCCTACTCCTCACGGGCACACTGCTGAACTGTGATTCTCGTCAGAATCACATCCAGTTTATGACTTATCTCCCCCAGCATCTGAGTCCATCCATGATTCCTGACAGCTCCTCACAGGCCCAGACTGCTGTCAGGATCACTTTCATTTTCCGATAAGCCAGAACTCCTCCACAGCCGATCAGCAGGAATCCAGTTATCATAAATCCAAATATTTATAAATCTTCCACGTCTTCAATGGAAAGCGGTGCCAAACATATCAGGTTCCAGCCCCAAGAATGAGTGACCCGACCAGCAGCAACCATTCCACTGGGACAGCTACGTTCCCCTCGTTCCACTCTCATTGTGGAAAAAATAGTGTCAATTGTGTTCAGAGACCAGTTGGCCAAATACATAATTCATTTTATTTTTGGATGACACTTTGAAGAAAGGCTTGAAAAAGCTGCGAAGCAGGAAAGGAGGGACAGGTTCAGGAGAGAGAGAGAGAGCAAAAACGTCCGACTCCACTGAAGGCCAAGCAGAAAAAAATATTTATAATCTCCATGTATTGTGCAAATTTCCCCACTGTGGGCTCAATAAATTTTTCTTATCTTATCTTATCTTATCTTATCTTCAGAGGTCCATAAAGTACTTGAAAAAACTAACTCACTAAAAGTAAAAATACCTTTACAGAAAATTACTTTGATAAAAAAGTGTCACTGACGAGAAAACTACTTAAGTAAAAGTCATACAATTGTTCACAAAAATTGGGAAAGTAGAAGTAGAAGCACAAGTACTTTTCCATGCTCTCTAACAAATAAACTGTTAAATTTACTGAACCAAACTGGCTCCACAAAACCACATCAATTAAATTGGTCAATTTCTTTAAAATAAAAAAATGCAAATTGCCTCAAATTTACTCTTCTAGGTTTAGTGGAAATAGTTGACATGACTTGGTTGAGTAAATGCAACACTTAATTTTAGCACATAAACAACTCCTTTCGTGATGAGTTCAGATTTAATCAGTGTGAATGCCTCCAACATTCACAATATTGTTTTCATGTTTCTCTTTATTATTTTTATTCTATCATTATTACGTATGTTTTTTGGACCCTATCTCCTTCCGCAATTTTTGTGCTGTTTCTACAATTCATGTATCAAAATGTTCAGCTATCTCTTGGCATTCCGGCAGTGACTCATAATATCTTTAATCTTTATACTTTTTTAGGTATGACAATTTTTACGCAGTTTTTTCCCCATTGACTTTGAATGGGGTACGTTTTTGGACGGCTTCTCCTTCCACAGTTTTTAACTTAAACCATTCATGTAACAAAATGTTCAGCTCCTTCAGGACATTCCAGGTGTGATCTTTGGTATTTAAATTTTTATAATTTTTTAGCAATTTCAATTTTCAGAATTTTGATGATGATGTCATCAGTGACATCATTAAGGGCTCGACACACGGGAGGCGACGTCGCTCGCTCTCCATTCATTTCCTATGGAGCCTGTGCGGTGAGGCGACAATCGCTTGCCCTCCTCCAGCTAAGCGACCGGCGAAAATAGTGCATGTGAAATTTCGCGCTCGTACACGTAGACGTGCACACGCGAGCTTGTGACGCGACATATGAAAGTTGGAAAATGTTCAACTTTTGTCGCTTAGCGTACAACCAGTCAGCGAGGGTTTCATTGACTGACCAATGAGAGGAGAGTATGCTACACACTGCAGTTAGCTAACACTTTCACCAAGTGATTACTAAAAAAGTCAGCTTTGTGGGAATTTATTGGCACCAGGGTGAAGTTTATGGTAAGTTTTTCCTCATAAAACTGTATCTTGATGTGCGTTTGTTTTTCAATATCATTAGCATCGCAAGATTTGTTTAGTTTACACGTCCGTAATGCACACCCGCCTTCAGAGTCAAGAACCAATCAAATTTTGTGAAAACAAGCGACCTGAGAGCACGATTCGCAACGCTGCGATTGCTATCACGTCCCGTGCGTCGGATTTCACCCTGGCTATGATGACAGCCGTTAATCGCTGTAGTTTGTCGCTCCCCGTGCGTGGAGCCCTTTAGTGACATCATCAGTTACATCAGTGACATCATCAGTGACATCGTCAATTTGTTCCTTAGCTGTTATTCAGCTAAAGTTATCAGCAAAAGGCATTCACGCTAGCATTTTCTCTGGAAATGCGAATTATCTAGTTTATGAGTAACTAGGTGTTAAACTTTAAATTAAAGAAGTAAACGTATCATTTTTAGGATTTAAAAGTATCAAAATAAAAGTAGAAGTCACAATTTAAAAAATTAATTGGTAAAATTATAAATCCTCAAAAAAATACTGTAAAAGTACTGTACTTAGTTATTATAAGCCTCTGCTTGTGATCTGTCATTTGACCACACTGCAGCAGGACACACGCTCTTATTTTGAAAGGCGTCGCTGTTTTCCCGCCCTTCCGCCATCTTGGCGCAGCCAGCTTGACGCAGCGGAGAGCCAAGCGGAGGCAGAGCGGATCAATCTGGAGCTTCGGCGGCTGATCGGGATTATGCGGCTCCGCTGACTGCCGTGTCGGTAAGTGGCTGCGGCCTGTTGCTCCCCGCACCGAACCCGGTACCGAGCCGTCCCTCCGCGCGGTTCTCCGCAGAGCTCCGAGCCGGGCTCCGTGTTTTCTCCCCGCTCCTCGGCAGCAGCAGACCTCCCCTCTCTTTGTTCGCTTGCGCCTTTTCTTGCGCCTCTGCGGGTTTTGTAAATAGTGGCGCAACATGGCGGCCGCGCTGCGGGACGAGACCCATCAGCTGCGTGGGTTTGTTTTGAGCAGGTCTGGTGCGTCTCGTGGTGGTTTTGTGACGGCGCGTGTTTGTGAGGCTCGTGTGTGTGACCTCTGTCTGCACATCTTCATCTTCATCATCAGCTGCAGCCAAAACAAGCAGCCCTGCAGCTCCGAGGACTCCTGCACCTCCAGGGGGCGCTGCTGGTCCTCACAGGTCCCTGCAGGGCCGGATCCTCCCCCCCCTCACAGGTCCCTGCAGGGCCGGATCCTCCCCCCCTCACAGGTCCCTGCAAGGCCGGATCCTCCCCCCCCTCACAGGTCCCTGCAGGGCCGGATCCTCCCCCCCTCACAGGTCCCTGCAAGGCCGGATCCTCCCCCCCTCACTGGGCCCCTGCAGGGCCGGATCCTCCCCCCCTCACTGGGCCCCTGCAGGGCCGGATCCTCCCCCCCTCAC